CATTACTACTACTACTACTACTACTACTACTACTCCTACTCCTACTCCTACTCCTACTCCTACTCCTATTACTACTACTACTACTACTACTACTACTACTACTACTACCACCTACGACGACGACGACGACGACGACGACTACTACTACTACTACTTCTGCTACTACTACTACTACTACTACTACTACTACGACAACCTTAGTAATAATATTACAGCATGTCTAGCTTGAGCAGGGACAGCGACAGCAGCTGAGAAAAGCATCGGTTTCCCGAGTAAGAGATGATGAGTGAATAATCATCAGCGGGTAGGCTTGCAAGATTGAAAAAGCTCCTACTCAAAATGCCCGCCGCCCGAAACGCAAACAAACGCAGCAGCTCAAATGGCAACGACACAAGCCCGAAACCGAAGCCCAAGACCCTGAAGCCCAAAAAGCCCACGGCAAAACTCAACCGTAAGCCTCAAAAGCCCGAGATGCTAGACCCTAGGCTGTGCGAGCGCCTGTTCGTGAACGCCGTGGCCTGAGGTGAATGAGGCGTAAGTAGACCAACTGGTGCCATTCAGACGATGCGCTTTAGGAACTCGGGCTCATAGAAAGATTTGTGACACCAAAGCATGCTAAAGGAGTTCGAACACTATTGCGCGGACCATTGAGAACAGACTGAGAATAGTTCGATGATGCCTAGAGAACGGTATCAGTGAAGAAATGTCGCCATCATGGAATTTCGCCATGGGAACCCTAAGCCAATCTAGAACATGTGTTGAAATCGGTCTGTAAGCTCATGTAAACTCCAGAGCTCAGCTTCGTAAGGTTTGCCATGCCGCTTGGGAGACGCAGGGCATTCCTGTGCGGGCCTTGGTCTCCCCGGCCACTGAGCGGCCAATGAGCATCACTGTCGCTCCTGCATCTATTGATCTCTCATCCTTATCATCATGCTCATCATCATCATCATCATCATCATCAGCATCATCATCATCATCACCGTCGCCATCATGTGCACTACAATGTCACTACAGTCCTGCGCATGCTTGAATCAAACAAAAATGGTATACTACTTTCCTGAACACTAGCAGCACGGTTTTCACACGGCTCGTTACTGTCGTCATTGTTCATCGCAATTCCTTATTACTTTGTGCATTTCTTATTTAGCGCCTCAGCAGCACGGGGTCAAATAAGTTTCTGTGAGGTGAAGCGCTTCGGAAGCGGCGCCGCAGCAGCAAAGGTCGTCGAAAGGCTGCAGCAGTGACAAATCGCTTGGGGTTCCGGTGGTAGTTCAACTGATTGGTTTGAGGAGGGCTCGCAGTGGGATCTTCGAACTGACTGCGGACTTGGATTGCTGGTATTCACCAGGCCACTCGGCTCCTGCGGCAATGGAATGTTAAGGAACTTCGACTTTGCATCAGGAAGACTCCAAGAGACCCGTTGCCCTCAGCATTCGTAGTTCGCCAGATGACACTTTCAGTGCTAGAATCTGGCCCCGAAGCTAGAATTCCAAGTGGCTAAGACGGCCCGAAGTTCACCAAGCTGTACTTACTGTCACGGATACTACAGTGTCTGCAAACTGTAATGAGATTTTGAAACGCCTGGGATTTTGAGATGGGATCAAGTCGCAGATGCAAGTGGTCGCGCGGGGATCGCCAGGATGGCCCGCTTGGTGGAGTTGACGCTCGAGGATCTGCAGGCGCAGCTTTTGACCAAAAGGCTTCCTGACGATCATATCTCAGTGCGTAAAGTGCGTAAGAAATGCTAGTTAGGCTGTTAGACGATGGCCGGAGACCATTCATAGCACTATGTAGATGGTCGAAGATGATGCAAGAATCAGCCCGTGAGCACAGAAGCCGCATGTCCATTTGTCTTTTTAAAGGTCAAGCTCATGTCTCGTTTACTCCGATGGCTGCCGCTCACGAGGTGGAGTTCAAGGCCTTGAACATCCCTGCGGAGGCTCGTAGACTCAGGGAAGTCTCGTTCTGTCGCAATGCTCTCTACGCGGAGGCCCCTCAGCCGACCACGAAGCGCGACCTGCTCACGCTGCTCGAGAAGCTGGTGATGTGGCAGGCCCAGCTCGAAAACGGAAGATGCAGAACACATTGCCTCGAGACCGAAGTCCCGGTGGCGTTCGTAAAGTCTGGCTCTGCGCAATCCGTGCTCTTGACAGCTTCGTGTTTTGCAGTGCAATTGACAGGTTTGACAGCGTTGTGTTTTGAAGTGTGTCTGTATGTCGAGAGGATAAGAGCATTTATTGGAAACCTATAGCCAGTCATTCCACGTAATTTCTAGCGCAAAGGCATGGAAGGATTCTCGCTGAAGTTGCAGCACAGAGGGGTGTTCGTGTCTCTGTGTGCGTGTGCGTTTGAAAGGAATCTCCAAGCGTCGGGGCCTGCTGACAGGAGATGCCACTGAAGGAACTCCAGAAGGATTGCCGCGAAATGGAGGCACTTGAAGCATTTGGCGTTAATGGATTCCAGATGTTAGCCTTTGGGGTCATAAGTAGGGTTTTTGGGGTTCAGGCTTTGACGGTCTAGGGTCTTCGGGTCTCAGGTTTCATGCTTCAGGGTTTAAAGGTTTGGGGTCTCGATTCGAACAGTTTTTTTCAATCGCGACGGTGGTTGCCGCAGCTACGAAAAAACGGGAAGCATACACAGTCACTCACACGGCACGGGTGAAGAGGTGTTGCTGAACTTAACGAATATTTTGAATGTGGTATGCGCACTTTCTATCAAAATCAAAATCAGTTTCAGAGCTGAGGCTCAAGCCATTGTAGGCAGTCAGCCACGTCGAGCCCGGATGAAAAGCATATCCTGACGACACAGGACATAGATGAAAACATGCCATCGTGGCCAGGCAGCTCCGTGATTGATATCTCTGCCGACAATCAGACGCCGCCTAGAAAAGCTCGAATAAGTACGGATGCTGATATCATGGGTGAGGCCAGGTGCCGCCTAAAAAGACGCGAACAAGTACGGATGCACTGCATGGCACGCCCGAGCTGGCGACTGCATCGTCTCTCAAAAGACTGCCACCGGCCGAACAAAGACACTGGCACTTGTCAAAGCTGGCAAAACTGGAGAGAGCCACGAAAAGCTCTGCAGCCGAGTCCCTTTCCACTGGCCCAGCATAGTCTCGCTCCACCAGCTCAATGACGGTAGGATGTGCAGACGCAGTTGCGCGCTTAAAGACGTTCCCGTCAGATGTCGAGGAGCATATGCACTTCTTATGGGCCACTGCTGACATCAAGTACCTGAACAGACGCAAGTGCGTGCGAAGATTGCCAGATGAGCAATCGCTGAGAAGCTGCAGCATTCCTTGTCTCGAGAGGTGCTCCAGGGGGCATCTTCCTGCTGTCGAGGAAGATGCCTTCTGGCGACATCTGTTACGCGGGTTTGCACGGTCAGATCTGGAGTTCTCCTCTGTTTGATAGTCCTACATGCAAACCTTGATGGGCCTCTACATCAAACAAGTTATTGCATCCGGAAGCCTACCTCGTGCTCTTCCTCGATAGGAACACTGGCCAGTGACAAAGCCAAAGCGACACTGCATGGCCAAGGCCAAGGCCATCCAAGGCCAAAGGTAAGACGACACCGTGGCCAAGGCCAAGGCCAGCAAGCCGAAGCCTGCTGGAAGGAAACGGCAGCTCCCATGTCTTTCGAAGTGGAAGAACGAGTGATGCACTTTGGACATCTCTCACATGTCTCATGCACAGCCCCCTTTTTTCTAGCCTCGGCCTAGCAAAGGTGCCCAGTACCTTGGCGCGCTCAGCAAAAGAGCTTTATCAGTGGCAAAGCCTGCAAGTTTGTGTTTGGGTTTTGAACAGTGCGCGCGGCTCATTCGTCCGAAGTTGAGTCCGGAAAGTTGGAAACAACAAAGATCTGTCTAGCACCTGCAAGTCAAACAAAACTCAGGCCTTCAAAACAGCAAACCAACATTAACTGCCCAAGGGTTTGCGAAATGAGCCGGATGTTGTCGGAGATACGTTATGGGATTGGACATGACTGCCAATTAGGGGTGTGCTTTGGGAGGCCACATTCAAACTTTGCGTTTACGTTTGGATCAAATTGCTGTCGAGGTGTCGACGTGCAGTCTTTCGGGAGTTCGCCTGTCCGATGCAGAGCACCGCAAGGACGATCCTATGCAATGAGGTGAGGGGTCCTTCAATGAAGGGCCCAGGGGCTTTCCTGGTTAAGATTGTTTTAGGCTCCATATATGTTCAATCTCCCATATCAAGTTCGAGAGTTTTAGGTTTGGCGATTTTGGAATATGCGGTAGAAGCGTACGGCCGTGGGAGGTTGTAGACGTTGTAAAATGCGGGCATGGTCGACGCCATGCTTCGTAGCAGGGCTAGCAGCTAGCTCAGTTGGGACACTTTAGAAGAAGGACGATTGGGGCAGTGCCGGTGATGGATGCCAGAATCCCATTAAAACAGAATTCCCCTCCCGTTATTCAGCTCTGCATGAAGTATCTCTCTGCTACCTTGAGAGTCGTTCCCAGTGCCGGAAGTGATGGAGCGTCACTGCAACGATACCTGCAAGTACCTCCGCTCTACGCAAGATTCGTAACAACCACCCTGCGATTCACATCATCACTGTCGTCATCATCATCGCCAGTATCGTCATGATGGTAATTAT